GTAAAACGGTCATAACTCTTGATAGAAGAAGCAGGAACCCAAATCCTTTTAGGGTATTTACTATCTCAATATGCTCACTTAAATGAGATATAAATGAATCAAAACGGGAGGTTACACCTCGGGAAGTTCCATCGTAAGCACAAAAATTTGTATCGAATACTATAAAATTAATTTTCGTCAAATTTTAGTGCTTACAACCTCAACATTGACCTGTGCTTTTCTTAAAGTCAAAATTTGAAGAAAATTAGTTTTGAGTACAATATTCAATGCAGATTTTTATGTTGATTCTAAAAATGGCATGTGTTTCATTTGGAACTCAAGTTCTGGTGATCGAAATCTTTGAAGACAAACCTATGACGAAAACCCTAAAAACAATTGGTAAAATTTCGAATGATCTGTATGAACTTATGTAGACACCAGAATTAAAGAGGAATGGGTGTAAGTTCAATAACGACAACAGTTAGCGAATTAAAATTTTTAGTAATCGAAAGAGAAAAACTCCGCACGTCTTGTTGTTTGATATGGTTAAAGATAGAATTATTTTAGCTCCCATCGTCTTTTCAAAACATTCAAGAAAATGTATGAAAACGGTGTTTCGTGTCAAGAAAATTTGCTAAAAATTAAAGGAACTTTATAGAATGTGACAGAATAAATATGCGATTTTGTTTGCTCAATGTTGAGATATAAGACGATAATCACCTAAATTGTACCTTGAGCTATATATCTGATAGTCCCTCTATTAGAAACACAAATCAAAATGAAAAGTATATCGAAATGAAATAACATTTTCATGCATTTTTTGAGATTTTTTGTGAAGATGATGGGTTTTAAATAATTTTCTGTTATCTGTTATAAGACAAAATGATGTCTGAAGTATTCCTCTTTCAATTGCTGAAAACTGTAGAATCGAATAGATGAAACTTGTATTCATCTTTTTACAATTACTTCAATTAAACAAAGAGTATGTTTGAATTTAATTTTTTTTGTTGAATCAACAAAATGAGTCTACAAAAATTGCGTACCGATAATTGATCGATACGAAAAATAGTCGAAAAATTTATGATAAAAGAATAAAAACTTTCAGCTGTATAGAAAAAAGAATATCTGTTCATTAGTTACCTGTAATTTTACTTTTCGGTTCGTCATAGCTGAGTGGTTACATTATTTGGCATGTATTCGATAGATACTGTGCTCAAACTTCATTACCATGAGCCATGAAATGACGCTGGACAAGTCACTAATAATTGTTTATCTCAGGTCACCAGTCCGATAGTATACTGACTAAGTTGTAACATACATCTACTATCGTGACTAGTGTGAGGTTAGTTAGGATGTACGAGGAGCGCAAGAACTCTGCATCAAACCGACCTTCTATACAGAGTTACAGCCGTTCAGAGTTGTAGTGAAATTTTCCTTCTAATTTTGTAGTATTACCATGTAGAAGTAATATGGATGTCGAGCATTTCTCAGAACATTTACTTTTAAACAACACAAAAAGTAAAAATAAAGAACAGGTGAGCATTACAAGAACAGCAAGTATGAAAGGAGAATGATGCAGACAAGAAGTACTTACACTCTTCTCTGCACTTCAACTATTTCGAGGTTAATGAAGATACATCAAACAAAGCGAGAAGCCATTAGTGATAATGCGTTAATTATCTTTCATGTAGATGAATAACAGATGTATCAACTTCTATTGTCTTTATGTAAACACTTTCTTTGCATCATTCTCTTTCTAAAAAATGTATGTCACTTTAAAAAAGAAGAAACTCCACATAATTGTGTTACTGACCTATAGACACACTACCGTAAATGTAAACAGTACCTTGAATTGCATTTACCTTTTTAATGCACTTATTGTTGTGTAAGAGTGAATTTCATGTGTAGTCATCGCAGCACTAATGACATGTAACAATGAAAGCAATAAAATATTTATGAGACGACAAAATTTAGAAAATTAAAACCGAGACCGACTGACTTCGGACCTGAGCTGCTCGGTACAAGTCAATATTCTTTTGATTTGAAACATTTATTAAAAAAAAAACTTTTGTTATTCTACTATAAATTTCTCGACTAATTTTCACATTCCACAGAAAAATATTATTCATTATTCTTTCCAATTAGCAAAATGAAGAATGAATCTAAAATAAAATATTCTTTCATTGAATCAATTTTAATAATTTTCTTTCTATTTAGTGGTTATAAATGTCCAAATACTGTTGACATAAAATCAAAAAATAGAAAAACTTCAACAGCAAATAATAAAACTACTGATCTTGTCTACGAATATATTCATCCATTAATACGTATTAAAAAACCACCATTTTCACGTGATGTATGGTTAAATAAAGTCGAATCTAATTGGATATCAAATTTATTTCAATCATCATCATTATCTAATCGTTCACCACCATCCGTAATTATGATTGTACTTGATGCTGTAAGCGATTTACAAGCACGTCGTGCAATACCACAAACTTTATCTTATTTAAAATCTAAAGGTTTATTTACATTTCAAAGTCATACTATTGTTGGTGATGGTACATTTGAAAATATTGTTCCTATGTTATTTGGTTAATTAGTAATATGTTATTAGATAGGAAAG